CAGCAGAGAATTTAGACAAATGTTCAGTGTGACACCCAGGTTCTGGGCAGAGCTCACCATCATTAGCCACTGAGTCTTCCTTGGTGACATCTCTGTCAAAGAAGGTTTTGGAGGCAGCATGTAGGATGAGGTTGTCCCCTGATGTCATGGGCTGGGGCACTGCCATCTCCAGTGTTGCTGCAGGTGGTGGGAGCCATCCCAGGAGGGCAACTGAAGGTTCAAGCGGTCTAATGGGATCAAATAGATTTGGGACACTCTCATTAGGTTTGCTTGCATTTTGACAGCATTTACTGGTATCCCAAAAGTCTCAGTAAATTTTGGGGTCCTCAGGGGTGCACCTTGTAAATAATTGGGCGATTATTTCCTCCAAGGCATAGGAGGTCTCCATCCATAATAGTAAAGATTGGAAACACATGTGCAGCTTTGGTTTAAAACAAATTTAATTCTGTGCTCCTGAAAATTTAATCCTTGGCTCTGTATTACCAGGGATGGGTTTGAACTGCCTAAGTCTATCAGACAAATAAGATTGAAATTAGGATAACGTAAGGGCCAGTGCTCAGAGGTCAGGATATTGGTGACTGTTGGGCAGGGTGGATGGCTCCCCTCTGGGGAGTGGGCCTAAGCCGTCAGTCGGACATCCCCCGAGGGCTCCTGGACTGTGAGAGAGGGCACAGGCCGAGCTGAGGGACACCCCCCAGTGTACTAATTTCATGCACTGGGCATCTAGTCATACTATAAAATGCCTAAGCAGTAACTGAGAAAAGCAAAGTGGCTTTTTCTCCAAAGTTGTTTTTCTCAAAGTCACAATTACTGAGATATTTTTTTTAATCAAAAAGTTTGTTTGTGTGACACACTGTACAAAGTTTCCTTTGTACACACTGCTTATCACTCATGTCCAGATACTTCTGTTAAAAAACAAACTTCAACTATGTAAATTTTATAGGTCTTACTGGCTTTATTCAACAATTCATGATTCGGGCACCATCCCATCTAGCAGATAGAAAGGAACTCAGATGAGTATCAAATACCATACCTCTAACGAAGATTTGTGTTGTAGTTGATAACGTGACATGATACACTCTAATGGGGCACTCTGTCCTGGTGGTGAATGCTGATAACTTGAAAAATAAAGGCCAAAGTGAGGCAACAAGCATTTATTTGAGGTCAAAACAAACTGAAATCCATGGGGATAAATTCAGGAAGGAACCCAAATTGTACCCCAGTTATAGGGGTGAAGGAAAGGGGTTTTTATGAGTAAGGGAAGGGAAATAATTACATAAATAGAATAAAGGAATTTCTATTGATGCTAAAAAGCTAAATTACTTTTTAACTATACATGGCTGGTTGCTGATTAAAAATGTCAAAATCATCAGTGCTTGTGGTGAGGAGGTCTGCTTTCCTATTAACTTTACAAACAATTCTTTTTAAGACAATGTTTGTTTGGCTCAAGTCCAAAGGTTATTTGCTCAGTTCAATCATTTGAAATGTACAAGGAACAAGATGTGCAAGGGATGGTGGGCTCTGTTTTTGAAATGGCTACATTTATATCAATTTTCTCAACACAATAGGCTTTGAAGCCAAAGAGCCTTAAGGCAGCTACCATCAGTTCCTTTCTTATTTTGTTCTATGAACTTACCAAGTTACTCAGCTTTTCTGACCAATATTTTCTTCTTTGATGTGGAAATAATTATTGTTTGTAACTTACTGGATATTTTTTTAAGTGCAAAGTAAATGACATTAACATATGTACAACACATTGCACAATGTCTGATAGTTAGTGAGCAGTTAACAAATGTTAGCAATTATGAAAGGCTGAGTCTAAATGTAAAGTTGTTATTCACACAGGCTAGCTGGCCTTTTGAGCAGCACTTCCCACAGAAGCATGCTTGACTTAGCAAGTCTCTTCTAAAAGCTCTTATTTACCAGTAGCATTACCCATCATCTCAGGCATATGTACACTTACACAGTTTATTTACTTACATGCCATTTTTCTCAGTGATCTATTAAGGTAAAGTAGTAATAAATATTATACTTACTAGGGGCACAATGCATGAAATTCGTGCACAGAAGGGTAGGTCCTTCAGCCCGAGCTGCACCCTCTCCAATCTGGGAGCCCTCAGGGGAGCCCTCTCCAATCCGGGAGTTTCTGTCTGTCATTGCAATCATATGAGCGAATTGTCTGAGACCCCAACAGAGTTTGGTTTTGTGCTCACAGAATAGTAGAGGTCTTTTTGTTTTCTTTGCTCCATTGGTGAAGATTTCCTAGAAGTTGCAGGATATCTTCCTTTTAATTTTTCCTCAACACTCTGACTTTACTTATGTCTCTCACCTATGCTTTCCCTCCATCCCCCACCCGTAACAGTAACTCGCTCCAGGCTCACTTTCTCTAGTGTCTAGGAAATCACGCAATGCAATTGCCACCAGAACCATGATTCCCAGCATTCCTGATGCTCCCCGCGCTCTGGGCTTCCACTTCCATTCCAGGGGCTGCCACCAGAACTACAATTCCCAGAACTGCTGGTGCTCCCCGCGTTCTTGGTTTTCGCTTCAGGTCCAGGGGCTGCAGAAATGAAAAGGAGTGGGAACTTCAGCCTCCCCCAGGCTGGGCTGACAGGACCAAACACTTCAGTGGCGTCCCCGGGACCGAGGCCGTCGGTACCTGCAGTGTAGGCTTAGAGCGGCCAGGGGCGGGAACGCCCAACCCTGGCCACTCCATGCCTGCGCACGTGTGCATTGCCCACAGGCCCGCCATCTTTGTCAGGTTAATTTGCATACTCTCTCCTGATTGGCTGTGGGCGTCACAAAGGGGTGGTCAATTTACATATTTGTCTATTATTAGTATAGATTGTGTTTGTACTTCACATTTTAAATCTTCTCTTTGTAATAATCTTATCCTATATAATAAAGAGGGACTATGCTAATTGACTGCCATGCCCTCGCAAAGATGGTGGCACCCACAGCCAATAAGGAGGGAATATGATAATTGACTTCCCTGCTCTCAAAGATGGCGGCGTCCACCACCAATAAGGAGGGAATATGCTACTTGATGTCCTGCTCTCAAAGATGGCAGCGTCCACCACCAATAAGGAGGGAATATGCTAATTGATTGCCATGCCCTCAAAGATGGTGGCACCCAGTCCCCTCAGCCCCCCAGCTGCCCAGGGCTGGCCCCAGGCACAGGCCTCAGATGGCGGCTACCCAGCCCCCCAGGGCCACCTGAGGCTCAGGTAACCAGGGCCGGCTTAGGCTTACATTGCTGGAAGTGGCAGCAGCAGAGGTGTGATGGGCGTCACCTTCCCCTGATCACCAGGTTGCCTCCTGCCCCTGAGGGCTCCAAGACTAAGAGAGGGGGCAGGCCGAGCTGTAGGATTCCCCCTCCAGTGAATGAATTTTTGCACTGGGCCTCTAGTCTATTAATAACTGGTAACTACAATAATAGGATCTGGAGAGTATTATACTAAGCAAAATAAGCCAATCAGAGAAAGACAGCTATCACATCATGTCACTTATATGTGAAATAAATGAACAAAATAAATTGATGAATAAAATAGATCCAGAGACATGGAAGCATGGAATAGACTAACAAATGTCAGAGGGAAGGGCCACGGGACTCAGGGGGAGAGAGGTGGGGAAGGGGGGAGAAATTAACCAAAGAACTTATATGCATTTATGCATAACCCATAGACACAGGCAATAGTGTGGTAAGCCTGGGGAGAAAGGGGCAGGAGTAGATGAGAGGGGGTTAATTGGGGGGAAAAGGGAACATCTGTAATACTTTCAATAATAAAGATATATTTAAAAAATAATAATTTTTGCTAATGTTACTATATAAAATGTATTTGCTGGGGTCCAACCCCAGCAGGTCCAGGGGTCCCCAAAGGTGTGGATGGAGTCGGCGAAGAAGGAATGACATGGAGACTGGGTTCAGTTCATCAGCATAGCAAGGTTCTCCCTCCAGAATCTCCAGCAAAGTTCTGGTCAGGATCTCCAACCAAGTTCTGGTGCCATGTTCTCTCGCTAGGTTCTCCAGCCAGGTTCTCCATGTTCTCATCCAGGTTCAGTCACCAGGTTCTATAGCCAGGTTCTATCCAGGTTCTTTTGCCATGTTCTGTCTAGGTTCTCCAGTGAAGTTCTGTAGCCAGGTTCTGTCCAGGATCTTTTGCCATGTTCTCTGGCTAGGTTCTGGTTAGGATCTGAGGATCTGCTGAGGATCTGCTGAGGATCTGCTGAGGATCTGCTGAGGATCTGATGTTTATTGTCTTGTTACATCTGTATTTATACCAGTCGATTTTAATCCTGTCAATTTCTATTACAAAGGTTAGGGCGTTTCTTATCTCCATTCCAGGGAGTAAAGATTATGTAGTTTAACTACCCGCCTGGCACTTGTATCCCCTCCCTAACCTCAGGGAAAAATCCCCACCTGGGGAAACAACCTTTCTCAGAGAGGTGACCTTGGTTAAAACACATGGCACTAAGGGGAGCAAACATATTAAGAATAGTATGCTATATACGCCAGGTCCCTTGAAACATATGCTGTGCAGATGTTTCTTCTCTGCAGCGACTGTGTCAAGCAGCAAGGATGGACTGGCTCCCGGCATGTATTAAATATTGTAAAACCTATTGAATTAGCATCTCTATGTTCTAAGCTAACTATAGGGTTTGCATCTCTACATTTCATGTCACATCTGAAGTATCAGTTTCCAGGTCTGAGTGTGGAGTTCAGATATACAGTGGCTTCAAGAAATCAAATATAGTAAGAATTTAACAACTATGAGATGCAAAGAAAGGGTTGAAAGATTAAGTTTAAGAAAAAGAATCATAACTAAAGCTAAAGCAACAAGTTGACAGGTACAACACACGTTGCCCCTAAACCTGTAATTATCATAAAATATGAAGCTACCATGACTAGTAACAGTTGGTAGAGAGAATGCTCTTAAGGGTATCACTGGTTTGAATCAAGCTGAAAAATAATTTGTCTTTCCTTTTTGTTTTAAATGCAGAGAAATTTGTCTGCGTCACATCTCATCAAATTTTCTATGTCAAGCCACATCATGTTAGAAAAATCCATTCTGCTGTTGTCTCTTCAGATAAGTCTCCTGGGAGTCACTCTTGGTGGGAATGTTCTGATTTGGCCAATGGAAGGTAGTCATTGGCTAAATGTTAAGATAATTATAGATGAGCTGATTAACAAACAGCATAATGTGACTGTCCTAGTTGCTTCTGGTGCACTTCACATCAAGCCCACTTCCAACCCATCTCTGACATATGAAATATATAAGGTGCCCTTTGAGAAAGAAAATGTGGAAGAAACGCTCCATAAGTTAATTTTTACATGGATGGAAAATAAACCATCTCCTTCAACCATTTGGAGATTCTATCAGGAGATTGGCAAAGCCTTCATGGACTTCCATGCACTGAGTAGAGAAATCTGTGATGGTGTTCTCAAAAACCGAAAGCTGCTGGAAAAGCTGAAGAAAAGCAAATTTGATGTTCTGGTATCGGATCCATTATTTCCTTGTGGTGATATAGTAGCTTTAAAACTTGGAATTCCATTTGTGTACACCTTGAAGTTTTCTCCAGCATCAACAGTGGAAAAACACTGTGGGAAGACACCATACCCTCCTTCCTATGTTCCTGCTGTTTTATCAGAACTCACCGACCAGATGTCTTTCACTGACAGAATAAGAAATTTCATCTCCTACCATCTACAGGACTACATGTTTGATACTCTTTGGAAATCATGGGATTCCTATTATAGTGAAGCTTTGGGTAAGTAATTTTCTTTGTATTATTTAAATTAAAACAAACAGAGCTCTTTTTTGTTTCCTATGATAATTTTTAGTCATACATATTGATAACTATCTCTTATTACCATTTGTTAACAGTAAAGGTCATAAAATGCAATATGCTTTGGAACTATATTTTGTTGTTTTCTAATTTTATGTACTTGAAGATACCAATTACATATTTTTATGCATAACATACAGAGACAAATACAATTTTTAATTTAGGACTTGATTCCCATTTACATATTGCATTAAAAATAGAAATCACCTAGAAACTTCAGTGGTGTGGGTGAGGGGAGGTGGGAGAGGAGCTGAAAGAGATTAAGCTTTCTACAAGCCCATTATTAAAGAGACCTTTGTGTCTGTGTGTGTGTTTAAAACACACATATATATGAATAATCTCTGATCATTGCTCATAGCCTTCCTACTGTTTATCAGGCACTCTCTTGGATAGGGAGGTACAACAAAGACTAAGATGAAGTTTCTACCTTCAAGGATTTCACAGTCAAACATAGAAACCCTATCTAATAAAGTTGGAATATGCAAATTGACCATCACTTCATGACAAAGATTGTGGAACCCACAACCAATAAGGAGGGAATATGCAAATTGATGCAACAAAGACGGCGGAGGCCCAGCTGGGATGCTTGCATCGTCAACATGACAATGACTCAGGCATTCCTCCTCACCCTGGCCACTCCAGGCCTCTGGGCAGCGCGTGAAGTCGGAAGGCGATTCTGGGCCAGATCAAAGGTGGAAAGGGGTCTCTGAGCCAGAGAGAAGGTGAAAAGGCAGTTCCCGGCTGGAGCAAAGTTGGAAAGGCGGCTCAGGCCAGGAGCGAAGGCATAAAGGCAGCTCCGGGCCAGATCGAAGGTGGTGCCAGCAGCCAGGGGAAGGAAGGCCTATTCTTGCACGAGTCTTCATGCATCGGGCCTCTAGTTAGACATGAAAGGGAATATTTACAATATAAATGGCGTGGATAATGAAAATATATATAAAGAACAGAAACGGTATAAAGGAGATAGGCAGTATATGACAGGACAGAGAGGTACTCTGAAAAACTTCAGAGTTGAGACGATACACAAGGAAATTTTTAAATAGTAAATATGAATTTTCCTGAAAATGAAGTGTGTGGGGAAAGAAACAGTGTGCCCAATATTGTGGAATCTAGAAATAGCACATGTGTGGTAGGTATTATTGATGAGTCAGTATTTAGGAAGGTCAAAGTATAAGGTGCAGAGGTACAGGATAAAAAACTTGGAAGATGTCAAGAATGAATGGGTTACATAAATATTTTCCTTTTTTAAAATTCTTTATTGTTGAAAGTATAACATATGTCACCCTTTTCCCCATTGACCTCTCCCAGCCTGTCCCCACCACTAGGCCAGGCCTTTATCCCCTTATTGTCTGTGTCCATTGGTTATTCTTATATGCATACAAGTTAATTGTTTGATCTCTTCCCATCCATCCACCCTCTCCTGCCTTTCTTCTGAGGTTTGACAGTCTGTTCGATACTTCTGTGTCTCTGGATCTAGTATGACATACAAGATGCTTTTCAAAGCATCTTGTATGTCATGCTAAGCATCTTGATTTGTATCTTAGAAGTAACTCAGAACAATCTGAAGGGATGTTTTATGACTAGATTTCATCCTATATAATAAAAGCCTAATATGCTAAGTGTCCTGTCGTCTATTCAACCAATCAAAGCATAATATGCTAATGATATGCTAAGGCCACTCAATTGCTCACTATGAAGTGCATTGACCACCAGGGGGCAGACTCTCCGACAGGTAGGTTAGCTTGCTGCTGGGGTCTGGCTGATCGGAACTGAGCGAGACAAGCCTGACCTGCCCTGGAGCCCTCCCAGGGTCCCTCCCCAGCTGTCCAACCTCCCGTGTCCCTCCCTGGCCCCGATAGTGCATTTGTGGGGTCCCTCAGCCTTGCCTGCACCCTCTTGTAATCTGGGACCTCTCAGGGGATGTTGGACAGCCGGTTTCAGCCCGATCCTGCAGGCCAGGTTGAGGGACCCCACTGGTACATGAATTCATACACCAGGCCTCTAGTTTTATATAAAATATATGGACAAATGTGGACCTAGAGTGGACAAATGTTAGACTGTAGGCTACTGCATCACTTCAGGAAACATGTGGGGAAAGCATGTACTACTGAAGTAGCTTATGAACTAGAAAAATAATGCAGATGGGAATACATAGTAACACACTCAGAAGAGCAGGCTCTGGAAAAACAATTTCTGCTTACATGTGTGACTATAAAAAGTAATTAAGTTTCTTTGTACCTACACTTATTTATCCCATCTCAAACAGGGCTACTACTAAAAGGACTATATTAGTTAACCAAAAAGATTTTTAGAAGATAAAATCTGTTCAATTAGTATTCATTGTTTATCAGGTAAAATTAAAACAAACTGATGGCTAATTAGTGAGAGTGTTATAAGGGATGAGAAAGAGATTAAATTATTTATTGTTAAATTGAGATATAATTGACATATATTAATGTCAGGTATACAGCATAATGATTAGATATCTATAATAATAAAAGCATCCTTCCAGACGACCTTCCAGACGAAGCCGGGGCTACAAGAGAAGCCCAGGTCCCGGGTGCAAGAGGGAAGACGGTGCCAGCATCCAGGGGAAGGGAGGGCTACTCTTGCATGAAATTCATGCATCGGGCCTCTAGTTTGTATATATTGCAAAAAAATGATCACGAAAATAAGTCTAGTTAACATTCATTACCACACATAGTTACAAGTTTTTCCCTTGGGATGAGAACTTTTAAGATTTACTCTCTTAGCAACTTTAAAATATACAATACAATATTATTAACTAGTAACCATGCTGTACATTATATTCCCATAACTTATTTATTTTATAACTGGAAGTTTGTACATTTTGACTCCCTTCACCCATTTTGTCCATCCCCTACTCCCACCTTTGGCAAATACCATTCTGTTCTCTGTATCTATGAATTTGGTGTGTTTTTGTTTTGTTTTTATGTTTCTTTTTTTTTTTGAAGCTTCCACAAATAAGTGAAATCATATGGTATTTTCTTTCTCTGTCTGATTTATTTCACTTAGCATAATGCCCTGAAGTTCCATCCATGTTGTTGCAAATGATAGGATTTTCTTTTTTTATAGCTGAATATCTCATTGTATATATAAACCACATTTTCATTATCTATTCACCCATCATTGGACAGTTGAGTTGTTTCCATGTCTTGGCTATCTATACTACTAAAAGGGTAATATGTTAATTAGACCAGATGTCTTCGGGACGTTCTTCTGGACGTAGCCACGGTGGCAGCAGTTGAAGCAGAGGCTGTTAGGGGCCATCAGGCCAGCAGGAGAGAGCAGTTAGGGGCGATCAGGCCGGCAGGGGAAGGCAGTTAGGGGGCAATCAGGCCAGCAGGCAGAGGCAGTTAGGGGTGATCAGGCAGGCAGACAGGTGAGCAGTTAGGAGCCAGCGGTCCCAGATTGCAAGAGTGATGTCCAACTGCCGGTTTAAGCCCAATTCTGCAGGGATCAGGCCTAAACAAGCAGATAGACATCCCTTAAGGGGGTCCCAGAATGGAGAGGGTGCAGGCTGGGCTGAGGGACACCATTCCTATGCACAAATTTCATGCACTGGGCTTCTAGTTGTAAATAATAGGCTATGATCATAGTGGTCCAGACATTTCTTTGAAACAGTGATTTTCTCTCTGGAAGTATACTCTAGAAGTGGAATTGATGAATAGTTATGGAGTTCTATTTTTAACTTTTTCAGTAATCTCTTTAAAGCAGCCGTGGGCAAACTACGGCCCACAGGCCGGATCCGGCCCGTTTGAAATGAATAAAACTAAAAAAAAAAAAGACCGTACCCTTTTATGTAATGATGTTTACTTTGAATTTATATTAGTTCACACAAACACTCCATCCATGCTTTTGTTCTGGCCCTCCGGTCCAGTTTAAGAACCCATTGAGGCCCTCGAGTCAAAAAGTTTGCCCACCCCTGCTTTAAAGTCATGCAGGGCATAATAATGTTTTGGTCAACAATGAACCACATATATGAGTGTAGTCTCATAAGATTATAATGGAGCTGAACATTTTCTATCACCTAGTGATGACAGTAGTAAATACTGTAACATTGTAACACAATGCAATACTCCTGTGTTTGTGGTCATGCTGTGCTGATAGTCATATAAAAGTAGAACACATAAAAACATGTACAATGCATGATACTTGATAATAATGAACTCTGTTACTGGTTTATATGTTTACACAGCTTTACTTTTAATTGTTATTTTAGAGTGTACTCTTTGTACTTATTTAAAAAAAAGCTTGCGCCCTGGCCAGGTAGTTCAGGTGATTAGGGCATGGACTTGATAAAACTATGTTGCCAGTTCAGATCCCACGTCAGGGCACATACAAGAAGCAACCAATGAATGCAGAAATAAGTGAAACAATAAATGGATGTTTCTCTCTCTCTCAAAGAAAATGAATTTTTAAACAAAGCTTGCCGTAAAACAGTGTGCCATGTTACACTAGCAGCAGCCTCATACACCTTGTGTCTACTGCATCTCTTGATTGCATTATTTTCTCTTATGATTGATTTTATCTCACTTTTTTAAAATATAAATTTAGTGTAGCCAAAGTGTAGCATTTAAAAATTCACAGTAGTATATAGAAATATCCTAGGCCTTTACACTCACTAACCACTCACTCACTGAGTCACCCAGAACAGCTTCCAGAGCTGCAAGCTCCATTAATTGTGAGTGCCCTACACCAGTGTATCATGTTTTAATCTTTCGTTCTGTGTTTTCACTGTACCTTTTCTGTTTAGATATATATTTAGATACACAAATATTTACCATTGTTTTATAATTATCTACAGTATTCAGTCAGAAACATGCTGTATAGGCTTGTAGCCTAGGAGCAATAGGCTATACTGTATAACCTAGGGGTGTAGTAGGCTACACCATCTATGTTTG